ATGTGCACCCATGTTTATAGCGGCACAGTTTGTAATAGCTAAAGCTTGGAAACAGCCCAAGTGCCCATCAACTGGAGACTGGATAAAGAAAATGTGTGTGTGTGTTTTTTTCATAAAATGGAGTACTACTCAGCCATAAAGAATGAGAAACTAGAGACATTTATAGCTAAGTGGATGTATATTGAGGCCATACACTTAAGTGAAGTAAATAGGACACACGTGTAAATACAGAATAGTTTCTCTGGTGTGAAAAACTAAAAGTGTAAATAAGGATCAAAAGGGATAACTGATATTGTGAAATAGGAAGAAAATGTCTAAGGGAGTAGGGAAAGTGGGAAGGGTAGGGGAAAGGAAAGAAGAGTATAGAAAAATATGAGAAAAGGAAAACATGGAAACAAAGTCTTTGTAAATAGGGAAGGGTGGAGGGGGTGAAGGGAGGGGAGGGGAATGGGGAAAAAATAAAAACCAAGATACATCATGTACAGGTACAAGATCCTAATGTTGAATGTAACTGTATTGAATACCTAAAATGTACCAATAAACTTAATGGAAAATAAAAGAATTTTTAAAAACAGGATAGATGACCACTTTGCCATAATTCACTGTGGTTTTTACCTATTTTTACAAAAGGAAAATTTTACTGGACTATAAGTATATTAGCTCCTTAGCAAGAATACAGACACAAATATTTTCTTCTCATGATCTACTTTTATCGCTCCGTGCATTCCCTGCACAGCTCAGTTCTGTCAATTGACTTGTTTTTACTTTTAGACACACTGAATAAAAGTATCTTCATTTTTATAATTTTTTCATAGCTTAAATCAATTAGTCATTTAAATCTTGTTCAAGAAAACAGTTTTTCTTGCTGCGTTTCAGGGTTGCCTGCTATATTGATATTCTGTCTGGTTGATTAAATTTTTTCTGAAAAATTAAAATCATTTCTCAGAATATTGACTCCTTTCCTATCAAATTAATGGGGGACTCAATTCCTAGGACTAATTCTTAGTTTTTTAATAGAAACCTTCCAAACTTTTAAAAAATCATAGATTTCTTGCAATATTGGGTAAAAATTATGGATCTTCCTCCTAGAAACAAACACAAAGGTCCATCCCTACAAAACTGTGCAAATAATTTCAAAATTAAGTCTAAGAGTTTCTGTTTTAGTGGCTATTTCCAGGTGTAAGTTTATTCGAACACTGATATAAATATACCAGCTCAGCTTAGCCCCAGTGCCATGTGGCCCAGTACCAAACTAACCTATAAGATTATTTTAACTTCCTGTTTTTCTCAATATAACCCACCCATTCACTCATTGTTAGGTAAACATTCACAGTGATGCCGTTGCATGTCTGATTTTGTGCGACACACTGAGGATACAGAGGTAAGATCAGCCTGGCTTTCGGCAAGCTTGTATTTAATGAAGCTCAGGAAGACCCGTCTATCTGCAAATAAGTGACATGCTGTGTGCCACGTGCAATGATGAAGACACACAGAGAGGAAGCACAAGAGGAAGGAGCACAGTATGGCTGCTTCAGGGGACAGCACCACAGCAAGTTTAAATATCACCCTAAGCTGTCAGGCCCAAGGAAGTTTTTCAGTGAGGTAAGCAGAGAAGAGAAAGGAACCCAGGCATGAGGCACACACCTGTAATCCCAGAACTCTGAGAGGCTGAGGCAGGAAGACTGCAAGTTTGAGCCCAGCCCTCAATGAGATCCTGTCTCCAAAAAAATAAAAATACAAAAGAGAGAGAGGAAGGAAGGAAGAGAAAGAAAGAGAGAGAGAGAGAGAGAGAGAGAGAGAGAGAGAGAGAGAGAGAAAGGAAGGAAGGAAGGAAGGAAGGAAGGAAGGAAGAAAGAAAGAAAGAAAGAAAGCAAGCAAGCAAGCAAGCAAGCAAGCGAGTGAGCTGTGGACATAGCTCAGTGTGAAGACCCAGGATTCAATCCCAAAAAATTAAGAAAAAAAAAAAAAATGAAACAGATCATTACGACAGAGCCTTTCATCTGGAGAAACAATATAAAAAAGTATTAAATGTTTTTAAAATAATGGTATCCCTCTCAGTAAGCACACACATGCTCTCTTAAAACTAAATAAAATTAGAGCAAATCTCCCCAGAAAAGCATGTATTTCATGGTTCTCACCTGCTATCCAGAACCGGAACATTATTGCTGCTTTGCACGTTATAAATCATGATTGTGCCATTGTAATAGCCAACTGCTAACAAGTTAGGTGTTCCAATGGAGAAATCCACAGCTGTGACTCCATATGGACTTGGGTAAACACGCTCTGGCCACTGCATAAAACACAGTTACATCACATGTAAACTCGTTTCTGTGCCCACGGCAAGGCAGGACACTGCCATGGCTGAGGCGCCTCTGGTGGCCCTGGGGATGTAAGAAGTCATCTATGTTCAGTTACTCCTGTCTTCCTAGCAACTTCTAGTATAAATGGAAACAAAACCGCAATTAGTCATTCCTTTCTTTTGATAAAACTAGGAATTCTTAGCAGTCAACCAATGGCTTTAAGAAGTACATTGTGGGCAGCTACAATATTTTATTTTGGTACTTGTTCGGCAGGATTGGTATGGCCGTGACACAGCTCGCTTGTTAGGGAAAGAATGAGTGGCAAACACATCATCTGTAGCAGATATTCCTGTCCTCCAGTATTTGTTTCACCTTATCTAATTATTTCTGAAAATAATAGAAAAACTCTAATTTACTCTGTTCTACACTCCACCAAGCTTCACTAAATCCTTTCCTTTTTCTAACCACCTCTGTGGAAAAGAAGATAAGCTACCAATGATGAATTTTATGTTCAGCCTTCCACATTTAGAATGACTTGTTCCTTTTAATGGTGTATCAACCTGTTCCCTGACAGATGAGCTATTTATAAAAATTTACATTACTTTTATATGATCTTCTGGCCCTTCCCTAAGTTTCCCTGGTCACATTTCTGTTTTGATTTAAAACTAAATGGAAAGCTTTAAAGCAACAGACTGACTAGGGCTGTTTAACCAAAAAAAGATTATAGTGATACTTTATTCTGTTTGCAAAATTCATGACATTAAGAAGGTCATATTAACCTATCTTAGCTCGAATGAGTATCAGGTGATAAAGAGGTATTCATATACGAAGTGTGCTTAAAATATACAATGAACTTAACCTTTAAAAATATATTGCAGTAAAAGGTACATTGCCATGAATCCTCCTCAAATCCTTCCCCTCACCTCAAACACACTTATCCTATCATTCATATCACTTTCTGAAGCAATTCTGGAGTCCTCTTTCCTGAGTATCTTTAGGAGGTGTGATAAAAAATATATGAATGCTGCTGCCAAGCACCATCCACCAGAGGTAGGCTCATAAAGACATCACAGTGTGTCTTCATCCACCTTCTTCACCAGATCTGTCACCATGCAACTTCCAGCTCTTCCCCAACTCAAAAGTAAACATGAAAAGAAATCATTTTGAGTCAATTCAGGACACCAAAGTAGCCAGGACAGCGCAACTAAAGACACTCAGGAAAGAGGAATCCAGAGTAGCTACAGGAAGTGGCAAGGGTGACAGGATGAGTGTGTTCAAAGAGAGGCAGAAGATCCTGAGGGAGATTAATGGTGATGTATCTTTCACTGTAACAACTTTTTAAAATTCAAACATTCACCATAAATGTTGATCATACCCCATATTAAGGAACAACCAAGTATAAAAAGAAATGTCTAATTGTCAAAAGATTTTCATTTACCGAGTCCTTCTTTATAATTAGCTGTGATTCAATAGTGGTTCAATTTTGTGCCTTCAAACCTAACCATAAGTACATGCTCTATAAATATTTACTGAGTGAATTCATAAATAAATTCTTTTTCTCCTATGTCAACAAGAACAAATATTAATGGCTGTGGATTCAAACCAAACCAAATAAAGAAGAAAATTTTTAAATTATAAAATCTCCTGGCACTTGTTTAATTATCACATATAGCTAAATATTTTATGAGAATTTTGTCAATATTTAACTAAATACAAATGGTTCTCACTCCTGTTTAGCTTACCATGGGATTCTTTATCGACCAGCAGCAAGCCAATCCTCTTTTTTGCTCCTTAAATCCGAAGTGTCCATACCCAACAGCCAGAAGATCCTGAAAGCCAGAATAATAAATTTAAAATAAGAGAAGATAGCATAAAAATATTGGCACATGTATAATGATAGCTATTAACAAGCTATACGTAAAAATACTGGTAAAATTTTCCACTGAGAATAAAAATATATTGGTATGTCATCTGTTATGGCTTGTGTCTAGATCTCCCCCCAGTCTCATGTGGTCATAGGTGGAGCTTTTTCAGAGGTGGCTGGATCTAGACTGGGATGCTGGGATTAGGAGTGTGTGATTACTAAATTAGTCCACTGATTTGTTTGGCACCTGAAGCCCTAATCAGGGTAGCCAAGATTGAATATAAAAGGGTCAGAAAGAAGCTTCTATTATCACTTGTTTTGCTGTCTTCTGCCTGCCATGAACTGTTTCTCCTCTGTGATGCCACCTTGCCTTGGAGCCAGATGACTATGGACTGAAACCTCAACAAACCATGAGCCAAATAACCCTTTCCTCCTTTAATTTTGGGTGTCAGGTATTTTGTCTCTGAAACAAGAAGACAACTAAGACACCATCAATTTTCACTTCATACCTCCATTTTCTTAAGCAAATAAAGTAATTAGTATAATACTTCTCATTTTTAGAAGATTAGGTACCTAGAAAGAACTAACTGCTGACAAGTTCTTTTACTGATTGATATCATCTTCCAAGAATGTATTTTGTATTTCATACCTGATAGGTTTTTGAGGATGGCCTAATTACTTCAAATGTAAAATGAAAGACATTGAAATGAAAAGCAGATGTTATGGGCCGAATGTACCCTCAAAAGCTCATGCGGAAGCCCTGACCTCCAAATGACTGAATTTGGAGAAAGGACTTTGGAGGCCATGAAGGTTCAGGGTGGTCATAAGGTGAGACCCTAATCAGATAGGATTGGTGACTTTCTAAGGTGAGGAGGAGACAACAGAGCTCTCTCTCCACTTTGGAAGGACACAGTGAGTGAGAAGGAGGCTGAGAGGAAGCTCTCAGTGAGAACCACCTCAACTTCCTAACCTCTGGAACTGATAGAAAGTAAACTGTGGTTGTTTTAGCTGCATAACCTGAGGTATTTTGTTATAGCAGCCTGAGCTGACTAATACAGCAGGTTATTTCAAGAAATGTACATATGGGCCAGGGATTTAGCTCAGTGGTTTCGCCACCTGCTGTGCAAGCGCAAGGACCTGAGTTCGATCCCTGGCACCAAAAAAAAAAAAAAAATACTAGGAAGAAATGTACATGTGAGCCAGGCATGGTGGTGCACACCTGCAGTTCTATCACTCAGGAGGCTGAAGCAGGAAGATTGCCACAAGTTCAAGGCCAGCCTGAACTACATAGTGAGACTCTGTCTCAAAAAACAAAACACAAAAAATGGGCCAGCGATTTAGCTCAGTGGTGCTGCACCTGCTTGGCAAGTGCAAGGTCCTGAGTTCAATTCCTAGGACCAAAAAAAAAAAAGCACCATGTGAAAATATATAGACAAAAGTTTAATGGCTGACCAAATTCAGGCTACTTTTTGCCATCGGAATGCATTTATCTTTGATGTATTTTCTGGTCACTGCTGCCCTTGCAGGCCAACATCACCTGCCCACAATTCCTCCTCTCTCAACACAGGCTTCCCCTCGGCCCGTTTCAACGTGACAGTGACAAACCCATTGCCTTTTCCTCTAGACTCAAAGGCATTACTCTCTCTCAATAAGCACTCAAGAGACTCTTTCAGGTGCTTCCAAGGGTCCATTTATTTTCCTTACCAAAGCACATCAGAAATTATTACATGGCACAGTCCTTGATTTAATTGCTGCTGCATCTCCAGTGTCTTAACAGTGCCACCAGAAAGAATGCTCAATAAATATTTGTAGAATGAATTAATAAACATTATATATGCCACCAACAGTATGCTTTCAATTAGCTTCGTTCCAATGACTTAATTTAATCCCAATAGCAATATGTTAATTAAAAAGTGCTAGTACTTTACATTGTTTCTAAAAATGTTTCATATCTCTTTATTACAGATTGCTATTAATGTAGTAAATCCCACTTACCTATAAGATATTCCTAAATATGGTTTCATGAAGACAAATCTGTAGTAAGATTACTTTTATTAAAAGTAATAATTAACATAATGTCTTTCAACAAAAATGATTGCAGACTTTGTTTTTTAATAACCATGACAACTATCATGTTTATACATAGTACCTGATAAAATGTGTCAATGAAATCCTAGGGCTAATTCTTTTTTTTTTTTTTTGGTACCGGGGAATGAACTCGGGTCCTTGCACTTGCACAGCAGGCAGCAAAACCACTGAGCTAAATCCCCGCTAATTCTTAAATATACATAATACAATGTGATTTTCAAGAAACAGATTAGTTTTGACCACTTAAAAAATGTACTACATATTTATTCAAGGAAACTGCCATTTCCCACAAGATTTTAGGAATTAAAATTGGGAAATGCCTTCAAAACCAGTTTATAAACCTCAGGAGAAAACCAGTGTTTTCTACTCTGTAATTATCTCCTTTTTACAAGCAAACATAGCATTGCCTAGCCTGATGACCCACCTTCCTTCTGTTAAGATGACTTTCAGCAATTCAGTAGGAAAGGCCAAGAGCCTTGGTACCAGAGGTCTGCTCATCCTGGCTGTATCACTAACTTGTGTAGTATTGGACAAGTTATTTATCCTTTCTGTACTTCATTTCTTTATCAACATAATGAGGATAACAGTGCACATAACTCATAAAGTTACTGTGTGGAATCAACACAAGTAAAACACTTAGAACAGTGCGTGGTACATACTAAGTGCTATTTAAGTATTTGCTGCTATTGGAATAATATATGTTAAGGAATCTCAATGTTATTTCACACATTCACAAGGTCACTAAATTAATCACATACTTTCAAATAAGATGACTTTGAGGAGAAACCAAATTTGGGCACGTGAGTTTTGATATACAGTAAAATAAACCAATCATTTAATATTTTGATATTCTTCTCAGTACAGTACCTGACATGGATTCAGAAAGTGCTATATCCCAAGTACAACTTGTAAGATAAAAATGGTAATGCTTTTACATATAAGGAAAAAACACTATTTTGTAACTATTTGCATTTTCCCTTTGTGAAACATGAACTTGTTCTAGAGACATTCTAAAATTGGGGTTTATGGTCAATTTAAATCCTTATTCTGTACCTGAGAGAAAAAACAAACTTCATTATTAAAATTTAATAATTGGAGGAGGGCTGGGGCGGGGCTCAGTGGTAGGGCACTTGCCTAACATGGGTGAAGTCCTGGGTTCAATCCCCACGACTGGTAATAGTAACAATGGGGATAAGGAAAGATTTACACCAATGACTTCCTGGGAAATACTTAAGCAAGAAGCCAGGGTTAAAATTCTGACTCTCATGCATATCAAATGAATGCAATATTTAAAAGAAAAAAAATTTCTTGATCACTGCTGATAAATGAGTAAAAATGCTATTAAAATGTTTGACAACTTACTGGATTTATTTTATTCCAGGCAAGGCTGCTCACATTAAGACCTTTGGTTAAGTCACAGGAAAAAGACCAAAGTCGTTCCAAATTGGCTGGTATTGTTGATTGTTCTGCATTTATTTCTATTTCTTCTTCCTCTTCCTTCTTAACCTCTTCTTCCACTTCTCCAACTTTTTCACCTTCTAAAAACTCTTTGGGCTCTTCAGGCTCAGGTTCTAGAATTAAATCAAATAGAAACATCATTGTCCTCTGCACTATAGGGGCCTACAAAGGCTCCAAACAGCATCTCTGTATACCACTGATGCTTCGGATACCCTGACCTAGTGGGTCAATGGCTAAAGGCACTTTGAACAGCATCTTGCACCTGTTGTTCTGGATCCTACTTTTGGATCACTCAGTAAATGGGCCATCGTGGCACATCCACAGGAGGACTATGTTACTCACTAGGCACTGTGCCTCCTTTTTCATTAGAAAAGGAGTCAGGAGCATGGGACCCCTAGAAATTTCACTGGGGTAGAAGTCACCTGATGTTTTGAAAGATTTATTTTCCATCCTCCAGAATGTCTTCCCAATTGGTCTACCTCTTGTTTATCTGGTCAAATCCATATATCACCAGTGAAATGGTCCAGGGTGATAGCTTATTGAAGGGAAAGGTCTCTGCAGACTAAATTAGGACACAGGACTGAAGAGCAGATAGATCCCTGAGGGACGACAGTGAAAGTCTGCTGCGAATCTGGGCAACTGAAAACAAATGGCTTCTGGTGGCTTTTTGCCAACAGACATTACAAAAAAAAAAACAAAAAACAGTTGCTTATCAATAGTTACATGCAAGGTAAGGGACAAGATGTGTTAATTTGCGCAGACTTATGAAGCCCCATCTGGAGCAGCTGTTCCAACTGGAGTCACCAGCTGGTTAAGTTTATAATAACTCGTTGCATTCCCCAAGACCCATCTGTTTTCTACATCAGCCAAATACCTGAGTTGATTGGGAGAAATGGTGAGAATCAAGTCCCTCCCTATTTAAAGTCCTTGGGGTGGCACCTCTGAAATCCTCCTGGGAGCGTGCTATTACTTCTGGTTTGCTATCATTATCACCCAAAGTACAGTTTACAAGAAGATTCACCCTTGGTGCTGTACCTTCTATGGGTTTCAAGAAGTGTCTGATGATATGTACCCTCCAGTAGAATATCATAGCAAGTAGCTTCACTGCCCCCAAAGCCTTTTGTGCTTTGCTTATTCATCCTTGTGTGGGGCCTTAGCCTGCCAACTACTGATCATTTCACTTGCTCTATAGCTTTGCCTTTTCCTAAATGTCATACAGCTGGAATCATACTTGTTCACTAAATAATATGTACTGCTGTGTCCTCCATGTCTGCTCCTAGCTTGGTAACCCAGTGCTAAACAATACTCGTTATCTGAATGTACCATGGTGTAGGTATCCAATCACCTACTGAAGGATATCTTGGCTCCTTCCAAGTTTTGCCAATTATGAATAAAGCTCCTACACACATTCACATGCAGGAGTGCTCTGAGATGGAAGTTTTCAGATCATTTGGATAAATACCCAGCAATTACTGGACTGTATACTGAGAGCACAGTGAGTTTTATAAGAACTGCCTGTCCCCCAAGGAGGATGCACCACTGTGCATTCCCAGCAATGACCGAGTTCTTGCTCCACATCTTCACCAGCACTCGGAGCTGTCAGTTTTTGGGATTTGGTCATCTAATGGGTGTGTAGTGGTACCTCATCGTTATTTACCTTGCAAATCCCCAATGACACATTACATGTGTTCATTGGCCATCTGTGCATTTCTTTCCTGAGATGTCACTTTGGGTCATTTACTTGATTTTAGATGGCAGTTGTTGCTTTCTTATTGTTGTGCTTTAAGAGATTTTTTGTATATTTCAAATAATGGGTCGCTTTTCAGCTATGTCTTTTGGAAATACCTTCTCCAGTGACTTGTCTTCTTATTCTCTTAAGTGTCTTTTTTTTTTGGTACCAGGGATCGAACTCGGGTCCTTGCGCTTGCGGGGCAGGCAGTGGAACCACTGAGCTAAATCCCCGGCCCAACAGGATCTTTTGAGGAGCAGTAACTTTTCATTTTAATGAAGTCCAGCCTATCAATACCCCTTTGAGTGGGTTGTGCCTTTGGTGTTTATTTTAAAAGTCACTGTAATACCCAAGGTCATTAAGGGTTTCTTTTATGGTATTTTCTAAGAGTTTGGCATTTACATTTTTAGAGCCATGTTCCATTTCAGTTAATGTCTGTGAAGGGTATGAGGTCTGTGTCTAGACTCATTTCTGTGTACGGATGGCTAGTTGTTCCAGTACCATTTATCGCAAAGACTACGTTTGCTCTGTTGCATTGTCTTTCCTCTTTTGTCAAAGGTCCAGTGGCTATATTTACGTGGTCTACGTCTGAACTTTCTGTTCTGATCCACTCATCTATTTGTACGTTCTCGCACCTATACCATGCCAGCTTGACTACTGCAGCTTGCTAGTAAGTCTCAAAGTCAGGTAGTCTTAGTTCTCTAAATCTGTTCTTATTCAATATGGTGTTGAATATTCTGGATATAACACATTTTCAGAAGTCCTTGTCTTCTTTTTCCACTATCTTGATGGCCTTTCCATCTGTTTCTAATGACTGATTTTTCTTGCAATTCTGGGTCATATTTTCCTGCTTCTTCACATTACTAGTGTATTTTTTTTGATGCTGTCAATTGTATATGTTAATGTTCAATGTAGGGATTATGTTTTCGTCCTTTGTAAAGCATTGACATGTTTTTTGGCAAGTAGTTAATCTGATTTTGGATAGAATGATATTTTATGGCCTTTTCTAGCAGGTTGTTGGAGTGTCTATACTAGCATTTCCTCGGGCTAGTTCAGCCCTATCATGAAGGTACAAGTGTTCCAGATGTCTACTGACTGTCTCATGTGTGCAGCAAGGTCTCTCTGTCTAGTCAGAACTCCAAATGTCTCCCAACTGAGTGTGGACTCTGAGGGTTGTACCTTATATAGCATCCTGGTAGATGCTCTTTGCTTGATTTTGTGGAGTTTTATCCTAACATGCATAGCATATGCTGCAGTCAAAGATTCAAGGGCAGATTTGTTTAGTTATTTTCTCTGCGTGGCACCCTCCTGTCTAATTCTCTGTCCACCAGCTCCAGTCACCTCGGCCTCCTTGAGCTGTAATATGTGTCTCATTGCAACCTCTGCTGTGGCCTATGGAGAAGACCAGGGCTGGTTTCCAGATGACCCTGCATAGTATGCTGCAGGTCCCACCTAACAGTGGATGGCTGCAGCACCTCAGCCCTTTCCTGGGACATCTCCACAGGACATTAGTGAAGGGAAATCCTCCCACTGGGAGGACTTCAAATGGTACAACTGGCTGCACATTTTATTTGGAAAGAAAAATAGGCAGAAGTTCGATTATAAGCTGATTCATCACTTGAAGCAATGATTTGGTTGGATGGCGGGGGCTCAGGAAAAACACAATTGGGAAGTTGGGGATGAAGAAATTGGCAAAGACATATGTGGCCATACAAAGACATAAAAGACATTTGTGGATGTATGTCAACATGGAAGCATGTCCTCTAATAAGTGGTACCCATGATGGACATTACATTTATAAATATGTAATAATACCATTTAAACTTTTAAAATAATTTGAGGTTATCTAAAATGATTATATTTTTTAAATACCTTTTAAAACAGGAAGCTGGCGGTAAGCTGCAAGCTTTGGCTGAAATATATTTTCCATTATAACTCGTTCCATGAAAAATAAGTCCTGAAGAAATTTGTCAGATTTTAATATTGCATCTGCGTGGTCTTCTTCATCCTCATGGACTTTAGTCAGAATTACATTTTCTATATCCATTAGAGAACTAGCTTCACTATCTGTTAAATATGAACATGATATAAAGATAAAATATCCGATAATATTACAAAGTTCATGGTTTTGTTTCCAGCACTTGGGATTCAACCTAGGGTTTTCACACTGAGCCCTTTTTTATTTCTTTATCTTGAGACTGGGTCTCACTGAATCAGTACATTGCCCAGGCTGGGCTTGAACATGCCATTCTCCTGCCTCAGCCTCCTCAAGTCCTGGGATTACAGGTGTGCACCACCACAACTAGCTGGTTCACGCATTCCAAAGATTTAAAAAAGACATTTTGTCATTGCCATTTGTTTGCTTATAGTTTCCAACAGCTTCAACAAACATTTATTACAATATTTTATGTACAAGACAAATCCAGGATAAATATTTTTAGAATTCTTAACCATCAAAAAATATACTGTTGGGTTGGGGATTTAGCTCAGTGGTTTCGCTGCCTGATATGCAAGCGCAAGGACCGGAGTTCGATCCCCTGTACCAAAAAAAAAAAAAACCCCCCCAAAAATATACTGTTGGGCCAGGGATTCAGCTCAGTGGTTTCACTGCCTGCCTCGCAAGCGCAAGGTCCCGAGTTCGATCCCCAGTATCCCCCCAAAAAAGAGTTAAATTATATATAATATACAATATTATATATATTATATATTATATATCATATTATATATGATATATAATAGTGTAATATATTATATATTATATTATTATATATCACATATATAACATATATATGTACTTTATATATTATATACCGTTTTTCAAAAGATGAGCAATCCCCACTGGAGTTCTGAGAATCCGACTGGTGGAGAATCAGAGCCCGCCTCACCACCCAGAGGTAAGAAGGTGGCCCCCTTTCTGTGGTGTCAGAGGAGGCCACACATGGATTAGTAATGGCCAGTCCTTTCCTCCCAGACACAAAACTGTCAAAGGAAGTGAGGTCGCATACTGCTCAGCCAGAATGAGGATAACCCTCCTGCAGGTGCCAGCGGAGGCCAGGTAGACACCTGAGCTTCTACTTCCACTTGGCAGCAGAGAGAATGACTCCCACTGTCTTCTGCCAGAGCTATGTCAAACAAAGCCTGCTAATACGGAAAGTTGTAAAAGATCATCTAGGATACATATATAATTGAAAGTCATCTAATCCATAGAAAGGGAGAGAGAAAAGGACAACATTCACATGTGTGAAAGAGTATAACAGCAAGGGAAGAAGCAACAGAGAAAGACTCTGAAAACTCTTGACAGGTATCCAAGCAGAAATAAAACTTTCATTTGAGACTTTGAGAAAATACAGAAGAGAAATAGTGTTTCTGAGTAAAAGTTGTGCTTTTTATGTTCTACGAAAAGAAAAATTTGGTACTGCCAAAAAAGAACTTAAAATGTCACATGAAAACATCATTCAAATAATTGCAATAATGGTATCTTACTTTTGTCCGTAGTGCTTCCCAGGAGTCTTTGGTCCCGTTCCCTAGGAAGGACACTTGCTTTACTACTTGATTCAATTGCAGATCGTTTCACTGCTAAAGATGAAAGTTCTAGAGCACTGTAAGAATCATACAGATCCCAGGTCGTGGCCATTATGCCTGAATAGATAGAAAAGTGAAAATTATTTTAAATCAAAACCTAATATTTTAGGTTTCTACAAAGCTAGTCATAGTAAAATCTAAGTCTATTTTTGTTCATTTAAACATACTGTTGTTTTTACAACAAAGGCAGGAAGTGGGTAAAAATGGCAAGATACATCAAAAATGGTGAAGATACATCAAAAGATCCTTAGTCCTCACACCACTGGCCTCTGCAATGCCTTAGTCCTTTAGTCCCAGCCCTTCTGACCCTTGCAATTCCTTCTCTTCCTGAAGCCGGCGCATTGTGCACGACGTCATCTGTCTTCCATGGGGGCTGATCTAGTGACACAGACCTTGACAACAATACAACTCTTAGGTTCACATCTGTGGTCAACATACAACATGCTACATTCTCCAGATCTATTCATTTATAATCATGGGCTTTCATTTTTAGCCAGCAAAATTCCCCATGTACCTATTTGTGAAAAGGCTGTATTTCTTGGGAAAAGATGGGCTCTATTCTCAAGAAATTTGTGTAGTAGTATAAGTGTTATTCCACTTCTGAAATTTTTGTTTAAATTAACTAACTTGATTCAATAAAAATTGACAATGTTGTTTATCTCCATGCAATTTTTAAAGTTTGCAAGCCTTTTCATTGGTTGATATCACTCTTATAGCAACTCTTTTTATCAGTGATCATAGAGCAATGTATATGTTAAACGTACTAGATTTTCTAGTACTTTAAACGGCGGTATTTTAATGATGAACTCTTCTCCTTAAACATCAAAACAGAATCTGAACCTAATAAATGCAGCTACTTGATTGGTAGAACTATTATATTTGTAACATGAAATGAAGGAACTCTGGTATCTAATGTTTTCAATGGTGATTTGTGCTCATTTTCCTTAGAATGGTTTTGAGAAATGCCCTGAATACAGCTTTTTACCACTTGAGAGAGTTTTGAGTTTGGTTTAAAAAAAAAGACAAGTGCCTTGTGTCAGTCCTTCAGGTAATCCCCAAGGCAGTCTGAATTATTCTCAATTCCTTGAGAATAGTATGTGCTCTGCTCCTTCTAGAACTAAAGATCAGGTTCTCACATCGGGAAGTTGGCTTACAGTCTTTAAAACCACCACCATGCTAGGAATAGGACAGGGAAGAAACAAGCAATTCTAAGTTGTCTTTCTCTCACTTCAGCTCTTGCTTGGCTGCTGTAGACCTTTAACTACTTTCCAGAGTTCTGACAAAGTTCACTCTGACAATGTTGGCTTAGGTTTTTTGGACATTTCTGTGGAAATACATATTGCTGGAAATACCTACTCTGTTATTTTTGCCAGTACCATTCCAGAACTACTGTTTTTCAGTTGATGTTCTTGAGTATCTGCTACAGCCTAGAATATTCCCAAAGGCCCATGTTTTAAAGGCCTGTGGCACTACTGTGAAATGGTAAAACTGTTGAGAGCCCAGGGGAGGAAATGAGGTCACGTGAGGGTGCCCTGGAGAAGACATTGGGATCCTCTCCATCTCTGCTTCCCAGCTGCCAGGGGTGAACAGATCTTCTGTACCGCATGATCCTGACATGATATATGGTGCCACCACAGGCCCAAAGTGATAGAACATGGACTGAAGCCTCTACAACCATGAGTCAAACCAAATATTCACTCCATATCCATTGATTGTTTTCAGTATTTTGTCACAATGGCAGAAAGCTAATTACCATAAATAGGTATTAAATTGACTACAAATAATAATAATTTGACCTATCCATGTCTTACTGCAATGGGTGGAATGGCAAAAACAATGCTGAATAGCTACTATAGCTGGTACCACTTCATAATTCCAATATTTAATGTGGATGTCTTTAGTAGTTCATACTTAAGCAAAAAGTTTCCTTTTTATTTCAGATATATTATCACACTATTTTTGTACAGACAATTTTATCAACAGTAAGTGCTGAACTGTATTGAATGATTATTGTGTTGTTGTTACTAAGAAACACTGGGGCTGGGGATGTAGCTCCGTGGCACTGCGCCTGCCTGGCATGTGCAAAGTCCTGAGTTCGGTTCCATGTAGCAGAAAAAAAAAAAAGAAACATTGATTTTTCTGCCCTCAGTGCTCCTAGTGCTAAGGTTTCCAGAACCGAACTGGACCACACACCACTGGGTACTTGGCTCTCAGGCCTTCAGACTACCCACGAAGCATTCCTGGGTCTCTAGTGTACAGAGGGAAGATCATGGTCCTTGTCACCTTCCATAATCATGTAAGCCAGCAAGCATATAAGGAATTCCTTTCTTCCTGTCATGCGTCTATTGTCTTAACAATAGCAATGTTTGCAGAAGTGCATTTTCAGGTGATTTCACTGTTGTACAAACTAGCTACAGTGTCACTAGGCAATCTAATTGCATGGGACCACAAGTGTATATGCAGTCTATTGTTGACCAAAATATTGTTAGAGGCACAGGACTATATCTATATCTATCTATCTCTAAATAAAATAAATTTACTGCACTGTATAGTATATATGTATATGTTATTGTATAGTGTGTGTATATAAAATATATATATATATATATTGATTGATTGATTGATTGGTTCTGTTTCTCTGGAGAACCCTAACCAATACATGTAGGTATTATAAATAGGTATTATAAATTACTCTCACTTTTACAGAATAAACCTCTATGATTATCTGGGCTTCCTGTGAGCCACATTGGGGCAATTCTTTGATAAAAATTTCCCATTTCTTGGTTAGAAGAAAAAATGATGCTTATCACACAAGCAAGAGAAGCTGAAAATCTACGAAACAAAGAGATGAAAAAATATGCTGAAGACAGGGAACATTGTTTAAAGCAACAAAATGAAGTGGAAGTACTGACAGCACAGCTAGCAGAGAAAAACAGTGACCTTCAGAAGTGGAGAGAAGAACAAGATCAGTTGGTTGCTGCTTTAGAAATACAGCTGAAAACACTGACCTCCAGTAATATACAGAAAGATAATGAAATTGAACAATTAAAGAAGAGCACATCAGAGGATTCTGAAACAGAAAAACAAAGCATAGTCATCAAACCTAGATATACTAGTTCAACAGATCCTGCCATGGTTGAAAATGAACCTCAATCAACAAGTTTTGAAATTTCCAGGAGTGTAGCAGAGGATGGATCAGTAGTTCTTGATTCTTGTGAAGTGTCAACAGAAAATGAACAAAGTACTCAATTTCCAAAGCCTGAATTAGAGATTTAGTTTACACCTTTACAGCCAAACAAAATGGCAGTGAAACACCCTGGTTGTACCACACCAGTGACAGTTAAGATTTCTAAGGCCCGGAAGAGGAAGAGTAGTGAAATGGAGGAGGACTTGGTGAAATGTGAAAATAAGAAGAATGCTACACCCAGAGCAAACCCTAAGGTCCCTATTTCAGAAACTAGACATTCTTCTGACAAAAAGGTTTCTGCACATTTATCATCTAAGAAAACACACTCTTTCCGAAGTCAGACACCCACGATTAGCGGAAACTTGGCCTCTCAGAAAAAAGAAGGGATGCTACAGAAATTTGGAGACTTTTTACAACAGTCTCCAATTCTTCAATCAAAAGTAAAGAAGATAATTGAAACAATGAGTCCTTCAAAGCATTCAAATCTAGAAGCAAGTAAAGAAAATGTGTCTCAACCAAAAAGAGCAAAAAGGAAATTATACACAAATGAAATTTCATCTCCTATTGATATATCTGGCCAAGTGATTTTAATGGACCAGAAAGTGAAGGAAAGTGATCACCAGATTCTCAAACGACGACTTCGATCACGGATATCCAAATAAATCACCTTTGGAGAATGTCTTAATGTAAATTTTATATTCATAATCACTGTGACTTGCATCTTGACTTTTAAAGATAACTATATATTAAGATCCATTACATCATTCTGTATAGAGATGGCTGTTTTATACATAGTATAATTTTGATTCAATAAATAAATCAATAGATTTCTTTGTGTAAAAAAAAAAATTTCCCATTTCTTTAACCATCATGTATAGTTCTATCATTTCTTAGGCAGTTTTGGTAATTTTGAGTTCCATAAAGAACTACTCTTTCATTATTTTTAATTCTATTAGCATAAAATCACATATAGTGATCCACTAAAATTATTTAAAACCTTTACTAATTACTGTATTCATATTCTCTTTTTAAAAATCCTAATGTTGCTAGATACCACCCAAGGATTCATTGTTCTGGGCTCATCTGAGTTACCAATTAACACACTAACAAGGAATAAAGCACAGATCATCAATGTTCACCCATATTACTAAGAAAGTTTAGACTGACTTCTATAGTTTAGGTGTGCAGCAACAATGAGCTCCTTAATCATGAGTCCCAGAATTAGACAAACTTCCAAGGTGTAACTTGATAATCACAGCCTGGGTCCATGCTGGTCCTACCCCTTTAAAATTTCTCCACAGAGAAGTCAATTACAAATTTTAGTTCCTGGGGCCGGGGATTTAGCTCAGTGGTTCCACCGCCTGCCTCGCAGGCACAAGGACCTGAGTTCGATCCCTGGTACCGAAAAAAAAAAAAGAAAAGAGAAAACAATTTTTAGTTCCTGATGCCAGCCTGCCACCAGGAAAAGGAAGGAAGGGGAATTGTGGGATACCACCCCATTGATTATGCCCAAAGCAGGCTGTAAGAAATGCAGGCTGTAAAGAGTTAACCCCTCAATTGGCTTGTTTTTTAGAAGTGAGTCTGGTCAAAGCCATGTGCCGAGGTCAGAGTGACTCTTATCCAAATTCCATTCCCAGAGTTAAAATCTTTTTTACTAAAAATACAAGGTTAATTATTAACCACAACCTATTCTTTGGCTGTTCTGTTCCAAGTTAAAGAAAGCTTTGTCTCTTCCTTCACAAGCTTTGCCTCCTTTAGCAACGTCGCCATAGTAACTCCATGTAGTCCCTCCACGTAGCCCCTTTACCTCAGTCTAACTATGATGTCACCAATAAATATCAACAGCTCTGGGTGGTCATGGCCTTTGCTTGCTCAAACCACTGACTGCTCAAGCACTGGTCACCCTGGCTCCCTGTATCTGTCTCTTTAACTCTGTTTCTCTGTCTTCTCACCATGCATCATAGCACTGAGCAGGAGATCAGAACCCACTGCAGGGGTCCCCGGTAGGGAATAACCAAGCATGCCCACATTTCTACTTCCAAACTCACCCATCAGGTAAGTCACATCTCTGTTCCTAGGTAGGAATGAGTGAGAAAATTTAAAAAGATGGAGATGGACATCCTCATTCCTATTCTCCACATAAAAGGAAATATTAGGAATAGGGAATAGGTGTTCCCACCAACAAGATATCCCTATATTCTTTTATGAAAAACAATGGTTAAACTTTTTTGGTAGCAATTTATCTATTTTAATTTTTTTAAACTTGCTTATAGTTTTGTTGAGGAATAAAGACAAGAGTATTCATAACCTCTTTCCTGTTACTCCTTTGGTCATAGGTGGTAGATTTTTGCCTATTAAGTGTTCTCAAAGAGATAGTCTCATAAATATTGAGAGGTAGGAGGTGCAGTAGTTTACAGCACAGGTTCCAAGGCAGGATCAAGTTATCTACTATCTCTTTGCCCATTTTCTGATCTATATAATGGAGAATAACAACATTACATGCCTCACAGAGTTGATAAAATTACATCACCTAATATATGTGAAGGACCTAGAACAGTGTCTGGCTCACTTGAAATGTTACTTGTGGCATATTTTTACTTGTGGCAGATATTCTTTGTGGCATAATTAGTTTCTATAAATTTTTCACAAACAAAGAATACAGGGATCTATGACATTGTATACATAAGAACCAAAATTCCTATTACATGACTGAGATCTGTATCTTTATTACTTGTTAACTTAGATGTCAAATTCTGAAAGCAATAGATCACAGAACTCAACTACTACTGTGATTTGGCCAATTATTTCTATTTCTGCTCTATATATTTCAACATTTCATTGTTGACTGACAGACTCAAAAGGACACATACTGAAACATGGAAGTTTAGCAAGGAGAATGAAATAAATTACCTTGATCTTCCATTATGATTTTATCACACTGTACATCTTTATTTTTTGGTGCTCCATTAAAAGTCTGCATCATCCGTTCAACATATAAATCATTGCCTAATCTATTTTTACAAAGGATTTCATATTTCTTATTTCTCTGGCTATAAAAAATGAAGTAGAAAATAATGAAGTAGAATAACTCATCAATGGAAATTAGTACTACACATATCATATCTTTATATTAGCCTTTTATTAAAAACTTATTATGATTGTACCAAACTGCGAAGTGAAAGTTCAAAACATAAAATCCTAGGGGCTGGGCATTTAGCTAAGTGGTTCCCCAGGGTCCCAAGTTCGATCCCTAGTGCCAAAAAAAATCCTTAGGAAAATATTGCATTAAATGACCTCTGAAGGACTTTTTTATACCATACCTTCGCAATGTGTACTCTTAGCATCTACCGCTAATACAGTAGCACTATCTATGTAGTCTTATGAACTTTTTTTTTTTTGGTACTGAGGATCTAACTCAGGACTTTGCACTTACCAGGCAGGCACTGCACTGCTGAGCTACATCCCCAGCATGAACTTTGAAATCGACATCTAAAGTTACAGGTTCTTTCAAAAATACTAATTTTTGTGTCATCCAATAAGTACATATTATTATCACAATTGGTTAACTCTGAGTACTTTTAGAAATTCACATTATCATAATTGGTTAGTTCTGAGTATTTTTAGAAATCTGCATGATTTCTTCTTTATGAGGAATTTTATTTATTTATTTATTTATTTATTTATTTTTATTTTTGGAGAGAGGATCTTGCTATGTACTCCAGGCTGGCCTTGCACTCATTATGTAACCTAGGCTGGCCTCAAACTCTCAGCAATACTCTTGCCTCAGCCTGAGTGCTGGGATTACAGGCATGTGCCACCAACACACAGTCTTTATAAGGAATTTTTTAAATGTACTTTGTAGCTTCCAAATGTGTACATGAATGTGTGGCTTAGTTGAGATTTATGTTATTTTTAACTTCATTGCATTGTGGTCAGAGAATTTAGTTTGTATGATTTATCTTTCAAAATTTTGAAACGTTGCTTCAGGGCTTTATGCATAAATTATTTCTGTAAGTTTTCCATGTATGCTTGAAAAGAATGTGTTCTTTAATTCTCGAGTGCAAGGATATGAATATGAACATTAAATTTTTGCTCAAATTTATATATATTATGACTTTTATTCAAGTTACACACACACATGCTAATTTGTTTCCTGGCTGGCCTATGAATAATTAATATATTTGAATCTTTTAGTTACAAGAATATTTACTAGGTTTCTAATTTCTGCTCAGTATGTTTAAGATTATTTTGTCAGGATTATTTTAGTATAGACTTATTAAACCTTTTTATCATTATGAGGTGACTTTTATCCCTAAAAGGGGATAATGCTCTCAGTTTGTTTTTCTGCAAGTGAAATTTTCTTTCTCCATTTTGAAAGTCTTTTCCCGATAGCTGGTATTCTGTAGTGCCAGTACTATCCACTGAGTCCATTTGTTTGTGGATTTTTTATTTATTTCTCCTTCTGTGGAATGGTATCTCCCAATAGTCTGAGAAAGCCCTTACCCTCTCTCTTTGAATAGTACCTCTCCTCCCTTCTAATCTGCCCTTTTAAAACTGACTATATATTCTCTTGTAAACATGCTTTTAAACTGTCTCATACTTTATAAAGCATTTTCTCTTCAAGATTCATTTTGTATAATTTAACCACCTCTGTTTTCTACTTTATTAAATTTCTATTCAGTTGTCTAACATAATATTCAAACCAGTGTCTGCTTTTTAAACAGTTACATAAACATACTTTAAAATTCTTTATCCAACTGAGTCATCAACTTGATAGTTTCTTAATGCTAATGGTGTTTTAAGTCTGTTGTATTTATTTAAACATTTCACACTTGTTCTGTATTCTGTATCTGATAGTATCATTACTCAGGGTCAGGATGTAGAGTCTGTTATTTCTGTTTACTCTTATTCATAATGACTTGGTTGTTTTTTTTTTTTATTAGTTTGGTGAATTTTAACCAACCTCAAACTGAGGGAACCTTAAGAATTTAAATGGGGTATCCCTTCCTCCAGAGACTTTTGAGAGCAGCCAGGAGACCCTACTAACCTCTGGTCATTCGGGAGAACTGAGATCTGGGTGTTGACCAGGTTGGCATCGCACTCTTGGGCTCAAGTGAGTTGGAGTAACAGGTGTGTACCACTAGGCCTGACCTAAAATTTTCCTTTTTAGGTGCTGGAAGCTGGATCCAGGGCCTCACATATGCTAAGGCACTGTCCCACTAAACTACACCCCAGCCCCCTTTCTCCTTTGCAGGGTTCAGGGAACATTCCCTCACTTCTTAGAGCCTTTAAATGCATCTAATCCAGAAACCAGTTGTACTGTACAGTCCAAACAATTTTACAATAATTTTTCCATACAATACTGGGGTATGAACCCAGGGGCTCTCTGCCTCTGAGCTATATCTCCAGCCTTTTTTAAAATTTTGAGATAGAGTCTAACTTGCCCAGGCTGGCCTTGAACTTGAAATCCTCCTGTCTCAGCCTCCCAAGTGGCTGAAATTATAGGAGTATGCCAACATGCCTGGCCTATTACCCAGTATTTTATATTTCAGGCAAGGGTAATATTCTAAAATTATTTTAGTGATGGTTATTTTAGTACTATGAATTATATTCAAATGATATTTGCCATGAAGTAATTTGAATGACTATTATTTATAGTAACTATTAATTTCAGATAAAGCGACTTCAGAGAAAAAAAAACTATCAGTGATAGGGACATTCCAAAATGACAAAGGAGCCATTTCTCCAAGAATACATGACAATTTTTAATGTGCTTGCCCTGAGCAACAGAATGTCAAAATACTTCAGGCAAGAACTAAGAGTCTATTTACATTCATAATAAAGAGAAATAAGAAATCTGCTGCAAAAGAGTAAATTATTTTATTTTCCTGTAACACATTTTCCTGTAAGTCTTAAAAAATAAAAACCAGGGCCAGGGACGTAGCTCGGTGGCACTGCACCTGCCTGGCAAGAGCTTGGTCCCAAGTTCGATCTCGAGTAGTGAAAAAAAAAACTATCCTTTAAAATTAAAAATAATTTAAAATGCATCAAAATAGTATTTACCTTATTTTTATTATTGTATTAAAATATTCATGTAGTACAATGTGATGTTCAGATACACATGTGTATTGTTTTTACCAGTGTAAGCAGAATATGTCACCTCAAACATTTATTCTCTGTAGTGAAAACATTCTGTTAGCTATTACCAGAATTCAGTCCTCCTATCTTACCATAACCTCCTACCCACTTAACCTACATCTCCCCTCTCTTCAAAGGTTTGCCTCAGTATTGAAGAATATGGCAAAAACTATGGGGTTTTCCTCTAGGGAAATTTACACACAATATACACACTTTCCATACAATTTGCCAGGACGTGTAAGATTTATATATAATTTCACAAGCCACACACACCTATATCCAGTACATCCAGAAACCCACAAGAACCCATCATAGAAACAAAGTACCGCCGATTTATCACTGCAGAAGCAATGTAGACAACTAAAATACACATACGTTACTTTCTCTGCGTCTTCACTTTCTACAGAGACCATCACTGTCGGCAGGTCAAAAAACCGCAGTGTGTCTGTCTCTGTGAGTAGGATCTCGACATTCTTCTCCAGGTCTTCTTTTGTTAGGACTGTCTCAGGGGCTGCCCTCATAACTCGTAGGTCTGAAATACATGGCTTAATAAAAATCATTGACGAATTGTTATTGCTCATTAGCATTTTCTTCTTAGACCCTGAAATGCCGTGATAGACTGTATACTGCAGGCGACTTTCTATGGTGGAGGAACAGGCAACATATGATAGATAGTCCATTCAACCTCTCTGAGACCAAATCGCTTTACAGCCCTTCAGCAGTCTCCTTTGCTGACTGTATGTATCAAGCCTACCCTCGTCTCCTTCCCATGGTCATAATGCCAGTGGCAATACAATATCAACAGGGAGTCCAGCATGAATGACTGTACTATCCAGGAAGAATATAGTTGCAAGCACAGTTGGGGGATAGGGCATGCACCCCATCTTTAAGCCCTGAAGTTAATTTCTATATCTCCAGCAATATTCTTATAAGTTGTCTTTTGATTTAGACTGTAATCACCTTCACCAGGAGTTACCAACAGTCTCTAAGAGAAGCTCTGGCTCACTCTAGGAATAAAATGGGCTCAATGTCCAGGCAAACAGTATGCTGAGAATAACTGGCCAAAACCTTTAGAAGAGTCAATAGTTCAAAGTCCTTGGAAAGTTGTACTGGAAATACAGTTTTAGCACTGAGTGAACTTGGAACTGGTTGTATGGATAATAAAGAGCCACGATATGATACAGAGGTCAGAGTTTGGTGTTTTCTGTTAACTAAAAAGTGGGAAGCAGAGATCTGTGAGATTTTAGCACAGCTGAAGCTTGGACAGCTTTAGGAAAATAAGACTTTAAAACATAGTTTCAGAGAACAAAGTCCAGTCTCTTCTTTAGAAGGCCCATGCCTGAGAAAAATTTCTTCCTCACCACCTAAAAAAAAACCTTATTTAAAAAAAAATACAAGCTGGCCACAGTGGTGCACATCTGTCATCCCAGCAATTGGGAGGCTGAGGCAGGAGGATCACTATGAGTTTGAGGCCAGGCTGGGCTGCAGAGTGAGTTCAAGGCCAGTTTAAGCTATATAGCAAGACCCTATCTCAAAAAGTAAAATCATTTGGACCAGCTAAATAATTATGGTATACTCATTTGTGAATATTATTAGATATAATTTTAAAATCATGAAAGTGATTGCAATAAAATGTTAAATAACAGAATAGTCTAGAACATGATCTAAACTGTGGTTATAAGAATAAAATATTATGCAGATGGACAAGGTAAGGAAAGAGAAAAAGTTTTAATTGCCAATCCTTTTTAGCATTGGGTGAGTCTTCTTTTTAAAAAGTTTTTGTTATCTGTGCAATAATTTCTGAAACTAACGCAAAGATGTCACTTGTAAAGTATTTTTGGCTAAGATAGGATAAGTAAAAAGTAAATGAATTATCCACATGGCTGCAATTTGAAGCATATCTAGTTCAAACTTTTTATTGCATCAATGAAGACAATAAGCAATACAGAAGATAAATGAGAAGCCCACGAGTGCACCAGGAATGTTGGCAATTTTATGACTAAAAATTGAGGTTACTGATTTTCTGATCTTTATTTTTTTAGACCACTAGACTTAGTTATTATATACCTTAAAGTGGCACTGTGGCACCACCAATGTGCTAATTACAAAACCAAATAAACTTACATTAGATGCATGTCTTAGTTACTTTTCTCATTGCTGAAACAAAATACCCAATGGCCAAAGTTAAAGAAGGAGAAGTTTATTTGGCTCACAGTTCATGAAGGTTTCAGTCCAAAGTCAGCTGGCTCCAAGGCAGGGTGGCATGGCAGAGGGGCATCACAGAGGAGAAATAGTCCATGGCAGGGCAGGCAGGGGGCAGCAAGCAGCAAGCAAGCAACTCTCTTTCTGTCCCTTACACCCAGGCTACCAGTATACAGACTCAGCATGGGGCACCCTTAATCCTACCCAGAACTATGCCAAACCAGTGGACTAATTTAGTAATCACACACCTTTGATCCTAGCAACACACACTCTGGACCCAGCCATCTCTGAAAAGCCCCACCTATGACTGCATGAGGCTTTGAGGGGACATCTAAACACAGGCCATAACAATGCACTACATAAATAAAACCTAATATAGTAAAATCTCAGTTATCTATTATGGTTGGAGGAAGTTATTATCTTGTCACTCTTCCAATGAATGGCAGAGGAACTACTATTTGTAGACAAAACTGTAAGATAGCAAATGAGATTTTTGCCTGAATTTCTGTATCATTCTCTCAATGTTGCTTGAATTTGATACATATTGAGAAACTAAATCAATAGCATATACCTAAAGAATCTGTTTCATGGTGCAGGTCTCCTAAGTATAGACCAACCCTACACAGATGTTGATTCCACTTTTTTTATCTACCTAGAAAGTGATCCCAAATCAATCTGCCTTGTCTGTACCTCTTTTTACTGCCAGTGATGGAGAAAATATGTCTTCCTCCACTCCTGGTGGTGCCTGCAGCTCTGTGTGACATTCATGGCTCCTCCTGTGTCTTTATGAACCCTTGCAAGAGGGTTAGGGGAGGCCAGAAGTGATGGAGAACCTTAAATGAATGGATTGGTGAGTCTACCAACTTTGAGGACATAACAGCAGACTTTCTCCATAGCATATTATTTTGGTTCCAATCTACCGTATCTACTTTTACCTATGCCATCGTTTGGCTACTTTCACAGACCCCTGTAGAAAGCACCCTATTCAGCCTTCCTTGGGCTCTACTTGAGCCAATGGGTCCAATATATTTACAGTACTGTTGAGTTACTAAGGATGTTTATTGTCACTTTGTCTCACAAATGGATTGTATACAAATCTGCATACTTTCTGTGTTCACATAAAAGTTATCTACTACTTATTCCCTGAGAACATCTAAAGACAACTGGTGTATAACATGCTGTCTGCCCCTACTTTGTAAATTAAATAATGAGCATCCCTAAGTACAGAACTTTTTTGGTTATGCAGTAAAACAATGCTCTCCAAATTTTATGATGCATCGGAATCATCCAGAGGACTCGTTAACAGTTTTACTAGACTTTTAAAAGCATTAATAACTTTTAATTTTAGAATAGTTTCAGGAGTACAGAAAATTTGCAAGAATATAAAAGAGTTCGTATATATCCTGCATCCAGTTTGCCCTATTTTTAACATTATGATACATTATTTATTACATTATTTATTTATATACATTATTCAATACAACTAATGAAACAATATTGATACTTCATTATCACTTAAAGTCTGTATTTTATTCTAATTTTCTTAATTTTTAACTAATGGCATTTTTTTCTATGCAGAACTTCAACCAAGATACCACATTATATTTAGTCATCATGTCTCTTTAGTCCTCTAGTCTGACAGTTTTTTAAACTTCCCTTGATTTTGAAGACTGGGTGTTTTGAGGAGTACTGGTCATGTATCTTTGTCTAATGTCCTTGGGTTTTCCTGGTGGAGACAAGGGGTATAGGCCCTGGGAGAAAGACTACAGAGGTCAGATGTCATTATCATCATATGCCAAGCATACATGCTACCAACATGACTTATCAATGGTGAAATCAGCCTTGACCACCGGGCTCCAGTAGTGTTAGTCCTGCTTGAAAGTTATTCTTTACCAGCCCCTTTGTATAATGGACCCTTTAGAAGAAAGTCAAAAGTAAAAGCCCATACTTACAGGGTGGGGTGTTGAGCTCTGTCTTCTTGAGAGAGGAATATCTCCACTAATTACTTAGAACTCTTCAGACAGGAGATTTATCTCCACCCTTTATTTATTCAGTTATTTATATCAGTATGAACTTGTGGGTATTTTGAAATTTGGGTTCTAATAGGATACTGTGCTATTTCTTTTGTGGTTGAAATTGTCACACCTCTAACCAAAGGAAGCTCCTTCTGCTGGCTGTGTGTCCCTCTCACATGCCCCTCACACACACACCTTTGTAGGGTTGTTTTCTTCAAGCACATCTTTACTTTCTATCTCATCATATAGGTTTCCTACCTCAGTCCTAGAATCAATCATCTGTTGTGATTTTAGGTCTAAAATGTCCCCCAAAGCCTCATGTGTTTGGAAAATGATTAGATTACAGGATATACAGCTGATTTGCTATTAGGAGGTGGGGTCTAGTTGGAAGAGGTGGTCTCTGTTGACCTGACCAGAAGTGTGTATCTCCCTCAGAGATCCACCTCCACTGGGCTTCCTGCTTGCCAGAAGGTGAGCAGGTTTCCCCTGTCCAAGGCCTTCCACTGTGCTGCAGACCATGCAAAGACTGAAACTTCTAAACATGACCCAAAGCAAACCTCTTCTCCTTTAAGTTGCAGGCATTTGTTTCAGCAATGAGAAACTAAGACTCAGTTACTTTTTCCAAAGATCCCTGGTCCCTTTTGCTGGAAAGTAGTATTAGAAACAAAAATCTAAGCAATCATTTACTTCCGTTTCCTTCCCTTATTTATTCAACATGCATATTTTTTGAGTACTAGAAATAAAATAAGTATGGTAATGATTTCCAAATGCTAGTTCCATAAGCATTCTCAGGGCAGCATCCCTCTCTGTATTTGTAAACAGGATTAAGTGACAGGAAGATCCTATGATGCGATACAGATTGTGGCACTAGAATTTAACTGCTTCACTAGTAACCTCACAATAACCTCATTGAATGAGTGGGGAGGGGGTGCCTAATATCATTGAAAATGAGTGCAGATAAAAAGATTAAAGACAAAAGTGTATTTTTATTACCTGTAAAACTAGCCAATTTTCCTCCTTTATATGGTTCTTCTAAGTCTCCTGCTATTGACTCAGTTGTTGATATACTTGACTTAGAAACTGTACTGCTGCCTAAAACTGACCTTTAACAATGAATAAGAACATTATCATTTATTTGAATGTCTTTATAGGCAATACATATAAATTAGAACATATTATTAGATGTAGCAATCAAATACACTATAATCATATCAGCAACATAGATCAAAGTCCACTGATCAAAATATATCGAAAAGTATTGAGTTGATTTTAATGTTCTTTAAATCAAAAGTAATTTAAAATATATTTTAGATTAACACATGTCAAATCTATGTCCAAAATCATTCAGAAAAATAAGAACCAAGATATGTCATGGATAGGTACAAAGTCCCAAAGATGAATGTCATCATAATGTATATCTAAAAGGTACTGATAAACTTAATGAATAAAGTCATTCAGTATATATTTAGAATAAAAGTATGTTTAAGACAAAACCCCAAAATAGAACTTTACCTTCTCTGTCTTTTCATCTCCATTATCATTCTTCCTTTGCTATTTTGACATTGTTTTTTGTGTTTTATTTCCTCAAGCTTATGGAGTGATCTTATCTCAGGCTCTCACCCTACAATACTCTTCCTTTCATTTATCATGTAGTTTCTGTTCCCTATTCAAATGTCATCCTAAAACTGTGCTTTGTTCAATTTTAGTATATGTCCTGCCAAAGCAAACACCTTTGTTCAATTTTATAAGGGTCCTCTCAAGTTGAATTAAAACACAGCTATGTACTTAGCAGGAAATCAACAGAAGAATCCAAAAATAATTTCCTTAAACATATTAACATCATTCTGTGAAGTATATACCTTTTCTACTTACAGTCTCAATGGCCCAATTAAAGAGTGGGTCAAGTTTATTGGAATATCTTGTGTTTTACCTAGCATTCCCATGTCTTTTGTCTGCAAATGTGGAGGCAAGTTGTATAGCAGTGTTCCGGTTTATATCTAGATGTCTCCACAAAGCCTCATGTGCTCATAGGTGGAGCTCTTGAAAGATGACTGGATCCTGGGGGCTTATAGCTGACCTGAGGTTAGGAGGTGGAATCTGGTACCAGAAAAGCTGGGTCAGTGCGGGGCATGGCCTGGGTTTATTTCTTCTCTGCTCCTCCCTTGGAAAAAAAATCTTTCTCTCTCTGCTTTCTGACTAACTTGCTGTGAACTGTTTCTCCTCCACCATGCCACTCTGCCCTGCTGTCTTGCCTTAGAGCCAGCCGACCATGGACTGAAAACTCCTCAAATTGTGAGCCAAAACAAATCTCTCCTCCTTTAATTTGTGAATGTTGGGTATTGTGTCTCAGCAATGAGAAAGTAACTAAGACAAACAGTATATAATTGTTCTGTATTCTAAAATAACATAGAAATCAACCCCTAGAAGAACAAAGATTTTCATGAGCAGATGGGGAGAAAAGGAAACTTGTCCCTTCCCATAAAATGTAGCATAAGAGAACCTAAAGGCACTAAGTAAAAATACTAATGGGAACTTGCAATCAACTGTAAGAATGTAAATGTTAGCCCTTTCTTTTGGTTCCTTGGAAAATCTTAATTAAAATCTCTATACATTTACTATGTTGATAAGTCTGGGAACTTTTTAAGTCATGCAGAGCCCTGCATCTAGGATGATACACTCAAGCTGGGAGGCTGCAGACAACTGATATCTAAGTTATATATGCAATTTGAGTGCAAATACAATATATACGGTAAGAAAAAACCCTATAGAACAGCATACTTTACCTCGTAAACTGCCCCATCACACTGGGGTTTATTGTGTTCTGATACATGCTATAGGAGGCGATAAAATCTGACCCAAGTGAGCCTTCTTGAGATGACAGTAGTTTATTTGGCTTTGCTGCATGGGGATCTGGGCAGTAAAGAGGTCTGGGAGTAACATCAACGCCATTCTTATCCAGCACCTGCAGAAATGGTTATTTCAAATAAAATAATTAAAGAAGACAGGGCTTCTAGGACCTAGAAAATTGAGATAATATTGTCCAAGCATGTCTTATTATCAAGTGCGCATATTACTTGTGTGGTGGGTCACTGGGCCATAAGTCTCGAGCACATCTGTCTACACAGGTGTTTATCTGTCCTCCAAAGGCGCCTGCACGGGTATTTAAAAATAATCAATGTATAAAATCATTTATTTTAAAAATTACTCACATACATTTCTTAAATTGTTTTCCATTTGGAAAAAATAGTACCTATAATATGTAGTAAGAAAAAATTTTTTGCCATACTGGACCTTTGCACTGAGGTATGTCTGTATACCCCACCTCTGAGACAGGTCCCTGCTAAGTCACTAAGTTGCTCAGGCTGAGCTCAAACTTGCAGTCCTCCTGTGTCAGCCTCCCAGAGTGCTGGGATTACAAGTGTGCAGCACTAGAAACTGGCTAGTGATTGGCTTTTTTTTGTTTTTTTTTTTTGGTACCAGGGATTGAACTCAGGACCTTGCACTTGTGAGGTAGGTGGCGAAATCACTGAGCTAAATCCCCAGCCCTAGTGATTGACTTTTAAAATAGGTTGGAAACTATGATTTAGGGGGTTTTGGTATATTCATACATATGTGAAACTATCACTACAATTAATTGTGACACTTTTTAATCACTTCAAGAAGCCCTGTACCCCTGACCCCTGTGTCTTGGTTACATTTCTCATTGCTGAGACACAATACCTGACACCAGCAAGTTAAAGGAAGAGAGGTTTATTTCAGCTCACAGTCTGTACAGGTGTCAGTCCCTGCTCAGCTGGCTCCAAGGAACAGCAGCATGGCAGAAGGGCAGGTTGAGGGACAAACAGTCCATGGAGTGGCGGGCAGGAGCAGCCTGCCTTCCATCTGTTATCCCATCCAGGGTACCAACATTTTGGGAAGTGCCACCCATACCCAGGATGGGGCTTCTGTCTTCAGTAAATTCATCCAGCCACACCCAGCACCATGCTAATTCCAGTCAGTGGACTAATTTATTTTTTCCATTTAAATTCATTGGTACATTTTAGGTATACAATATAGTTACATTCATCATTGGGATCTTGTACCTTTACATGACATATCTTGGTTCTAATTTTTTCCCCCTTCCCCTGCCCTCCCTTCACCCCCTCCACCCTTCCCTATTTACAAAGAATTTGTTCCCATTTTTTTCTTTTCTCATACTTTTTCTTTTCTTTCCTTGCCCTTACCCCTTCCACTTCCCCTGCTCCTTTAAACATTTTCTTCCTATTTCACAATATCAATTATACATTTTGAATCCACTTTCCAGTCCCCCTTCTGTCTCTCGTAGAAGCTTTCTCTCAATAAATTTTCCTACTCTTAACCTCCATTGTTCCTATAATTCATTCTTTGATTTTAGAGAACACGAACTCGCATTTTGGATATCTAAATCATCAATCAGAGAGAGATACTGGGTCACTGGGAGTCACGCCCCATCCAGCCCGTGCCAAGCACACTGGCAGGGACTAGCCAGAAGGTGAGGATCCCTTGCCACTGACCATGCCCATGGCGGCGATCCACTTAGCTGTGTGGGCGCCTGCAGGACCCCCCCCCCAACACACACACACCTCTAGCCTCTTGGCTGTACCGCTACCTAGTTCCACATTACAAAGACACAGGGGACACCAGACCACCGTACTGGGTAAGTTGGAGGGATTATCACTTCCCATGGGAATCTGGACTATTTTCAGGGAAAAGGCAGCTGGAACCTGCAGTACAACCTTGCACAGTTCAACCCTGCACGAGAACAGGGAGCTCAACTTGGGACTTGCAGACAGAAATCTGCCTGAATCTCAGGGGTCTGCTACTAGCTTGCTGAGACTCATTGACTTATATCTGCACACAGCTGCCCATGTTGTCTATTGTGACAGCAGAGGCATACCCTGAAGGAGGCCCTTCATTTTCATTTTTATTTTTTATTTCCCAAAGTATTATTATTGGAGGATTTTGCTCTTAATTTTAATTTTTTTCCTATCTTTTCAAATTTTTATTTTTCTCTTCTTTTCTTTCATTTCTCTTTCCTTTCTCTCTCTCTCTCACACACTCACTCACTTGCTGTCCCACATTGTTCTTCATCTCCCTTTTTGTTCCTGTTCTGGCCCTAATTCATATTTCTTCTTTATTTTCCTTTTATTCTCTTTTTCCTTCTCTCACCTGTGTCCTCTGGCCTCAGTGCTTACCTTCCCCTATCCTTCTACCTATCTATCCCTCCCTCCCCAACTCCTTCTAACTTCCCATCCTGAAGGGTAAAATTGCTATATTGAAGAGTTTATTCACTATAAACATATGTTGGGTTGGTCCTCGATTTTGATTTAATTCACACAGTTAAGGTGATGGATTAATAATTTTCATAAATTGTCATTTTCTAAGATGTACTTGATGCTAAGATGTTGCTGATTGTAACACTTGGGCTAAGGTGTTGTGATTAATCTAGTCAATGGTCCTTCCTGGTATAATGAAAATGAGGCAGCCTCAGAGTCATTAGAGACTCAAAAACTAAGGACCAGCTATATCTGGAAGACACCTCTGAGAAGAAATTATTCCATAAGGATTCTAATTACAAGCAACAAAGATACTTACAATAAGCAGTTTTGAAGTATCAACCCAGGAATTAAACCAAGGATAGTACCAAAAACAAAAATGAGAAGACATTTAAGTAAGGCACAAACCCAGTCTTCCAGCTCACCAAAGGCAAATTCTGGGGGAAAAGAGGTAGAAAACTCTGATAATCAACCACCTGGACACCCTAAACTGATAGCACAGGAAGTAACAAAACAGATAAATGGGGCTGTAGAAAAATTCAAAACAGAAATAATTTCTCAGATAACTACAGAGATGGTGAGCAGAATAAAAGACATGATCAGTGGACTAATTTAGTACCACACACCCTTAATCCCAATATCATACCCTCTAGATGCAGCCGTCTCTGAAAAGAGTGCATGAGGCTTTGGGGAGACATCTAGATACAAGCCGTAACACTATTTCTTTGTGAAAGATTTTGAAATTCGGGAAGTTTCAGTCATCTTGACTGATTCTTCTTTTTCAGGATTGTTTTGGCTATTCTGGATCCCCTGTGATTCCATATGAATTAGAGAATCAGTGGTCACTTTCTAGAAAGAAACCAGATATAATTCTGATAAGGATTGCACCAATTCTGCAGATCAGTTTGGGTAATATCACCATCTTATAAATGGTAAGTGTTTTGACGCATGAACATGGATTACTTTCCACTTATTTAAATACTATTTCATTTCTGTCAATAATGTTCTGTAATTTTCAGGGCATATATTTTGCACTTCATTTGTTAAATTTACCTCTAAGCATTTTACAGTTCTTGATGCTATTGTGAAATAATTTTAATTTAATTTTCATAACAAGCATATAGATATACAATTTATTTATATATTGATCATGTATCCTGCAACCTTGTAGAACTCAAAATTAAGTTAAAATGATGTTTGGTGGGCTCTAATCCAATCTGCTGTCATCTCTGAGATTAGGACACACATCATGACATCAGGGACACATGTCCATAGTGGAAAGATTATGTAAGGACACAGCAAGAAAGCAGCCACCTGCAAGGAGAGAGGTCTCAGGCAATAGTAAGCCTACCAACATCTTGGAACAAGAAGAGTGAGAAAAGTGATTTCTGTGGCTTAACCTACCCAATTGGTAGTATTTTGTTATAACAGTCCTGACAAAGCAGTACTGTCACGGTACTTCTTATATGTTTCTCTGTTCATTTTGCTAGTGTTTTGTTGAGGATTTTTGTGTTCATGTGCATAGGATATACAGGTAGAGTTTCTTGTCAAGTCTTTGACTTTGGTCTCCGAGTAGTACTGGCATCACAGAACAACATGGGAATTGTTTCTGCCTCTTATTTTCAGACAAGTTTATGAAGAATCTGGTAAAATCCAACAGTGAAGCTATTCAGGCTTGGGCTTTTCTTTGTGGATAGTGGTTTGGTTTTTTTAATTATTACTGATCTAAACTCTTCTCTAAGGTGTACTGAGATTGTCTATTTCTTCTGGAGTCAGTTCTTAATGGTAGTTTGTGCTTTTGTAGGAGTGCATCTATTTCAAATAACTTATCTAATTTGTTGGCACAGAATTGTTCACGGCAATCTTTTATACTCCTTATTTTTGTAATGTTCGTACTAAAGCACTCCTTCTTATTTATGATTCTAGCATTTTGATTCTTTTTCTTTTTTCTTAGTCAAAGTAGCTACAGGTTTATTGATCTTCCCAAAGAAACAACTTTTGGTTTTGTTGACTTTCTCTATTGTTTTCTTATTCAATATTTCACTCCAATATTTCCTTTTTCTTTTTTATGCTATTTATGCTATCTGTTTTTCCAATTTCTTAAGTTGAAAGGTTATTGATTTCAACTGTTGTTTCTTTCTTGAGACAGGATCTTGCTATGCTGGCCTCAAACTCCTGGGCTCAAGTGATCCTCCTGCCTCAGCCTCTCAGGTAGGCACCACAGGCATGAGCCTCTACTCCTGGCCTGTCATCCTTTTCTCTAATGTAGGCATTTATCTCCATAAATTTCTTTCTAAGCACTGCTTTAGCTTCATACAATAAGCATTGGCATCTTGACTATCAATCATCTTACAATATTTTCCAATTTTCCTAGTAACTTCTTTTTTTTTTTTACTTTTTAAAGTTATTTGTATTTGTTACCTTTTAAAGCAGGTGACCTGGGCACTCCGTTCCCACTCACAGGCCTGGTTTCAAATTATCCTTCAAACAGCATTGCAGTATTCCTAGGAAGTTTAGTTTATTCCTCTAAACAATACTTTTCTTTGGAAAACAAGCCCCATGGAGCTTCTGCCATCAAGTTGTTTCAGTTTAACTTACTTATTTCTAAAAGCCTAGTACATGCAGCATTGAAACTACAGGGGGAAAAGTTTTAAAAAGTAGATCCTAC